CCCCAAAACCCCAAAACCCCAAAACCCCAAAACCCCGCAACTATAAAATCTCGTTGACCTTATATCATTAAAAATGGAAACGAAAAATTACTCTTTAGTCATCGATGAGGATAGCGAAAAGTTCACTATCAACTCGGTGAATGAATTCTCAACACACAAGAATCTCTTAGTAGAAGACAAAGGGAGAAGTAAAAGGTAAAGATCTTCTATTTTGGAACTTTAATAAAAACTATTTACACCGTTCTTATCCTAAAGTTGTGGTAGTTTTGAACAACCTAATATTTCTATATAAAGCTTTGACTCTGCTAAATAGTTTCTTCCTTTATTTCACAGTGATCATTAGTCTTATAAGTGATTTATAGCTCTCAAAATGAATCGAAATCTTTTGAAAATGGAGATAGAATAATGGATGCACATTCAGATTGTTCTGAACAAGAGGAAAGTCTATGAGAGCATGAAGTTAATGCTGACATTACCAGAAAGCATCAAACTACCTTGAGAAGAAAGATAAACGGGTCCAAGATGTTGGAGGATTCTAAAAGAAAGACTACTAGTTTAAAATCAACTTTCCATCACAATGATGCGGCTAGGTTGGTGGCTGTTCGCAAGGTGATTTCATTTAACAGCAAAGAGATAGACTCTTGTAGACTCTTAGAAATAATCAGCAAGTGAAAGAATTAAATGTTTTGCACAAATTTTCAGCAAGAATTTTCATGAATAAAGACTATGACCTTTATATGAATAGTTCTTATTGCTGTATATATTTCATAGGGCCAACCCTAACCTGACTCTAAAGAGGCCTTTAATAATTTATCCCTTAATAATTTACATCAAAACTTTCCTCTGATTCCATCTCCAAAATTTCCTAGTCATGGGTTGTTTGGTTATAAATATTCTTATTTTCATAGTTACTCTTTCAAAGTTCAGAATTATCAAATTCCTGAGAAGCACAAATAGTTCTGGAACCTCTTTGGGTTGTTAATCCCATAATATGAATCCTGATAATCTGCTATAACAAGAAAGAGAATGAAGGCCTTCTCAAAAGCCGTAAAAATATATGAATTCTCTAAAATTTCTAGTAGCATAACCTTTCTAAAATTTTATAAAAATGATATTTCTCTTTTTTAGAAATTTTTCAATAAATTTGCAATCTTTTTATTCTTGTTATTTTGAAAAACATTTGAAGACCCAGGGGTTTATGTCAATTTTAGTCTAATCTATATGGGCATACTCCTGCAATAGGAAAATTAGAAAGCAAAGAAGACAACTTTTATTAAAGCAATACTATTTTTGCCCTATATAGAAAGAGTCTCTTCTTTGCTTGGGATAGCCTTCCCTAAATTTTATTTCGATTCTGAGATTTCGATTCTTATGAAAACTGAAACTTTGAGAACTCTTATTTGGTATTCAAATGGGGTTCACTAAAATAGAAATTAAAAGTTTCTATGATAAGTGCTGATTTCTTGAAAATAATTTACTATTTCTATTATAAATTCATATCTGAGTAACTTAAATAAAAGGCCATTTCTTTTTATTAATTTATGGAATAAACTCAAAGCCTTCTAAGATGGTCTTACTTAAAAATTCTTTGTAATAATCACAAATCTGGATGAAAGATAGCATATTTTCTCCAAAAATGCCCTTACGGCAGGAAATAGCGGAAGATTATTTTCAAAAGTTTGCTGGTATATCACGGTCCAGTTAAAATCTGTTTCAGGCATAAGTCTTCTTCAAAAGTTCTACTGCTTTACAGCCCATACTAGCTTATACCCCTTAAGAATAATTTCCTAAATCCTAGTAATGACTGACTCTTGACGTTGACATAAAATTTGTACTGGGAGATGAATTATTTCAGTGGTTAATAATAGCGATGTTTATAACATTTGCAAGGGATAAATGAAAATAGTAGAGCTAAGAGATATCTCTTTTAAAATAAGTTCAATTGATTTCTTTAGCATAGGAAAATTTTAATAAATTTCGCCACTTCTTAGATATCCTCACTAAAATATTAATGAATTTTATTAACCTAACAGGCTATTTTAATAGGTTTTAGCATTATTTTGGGGTTTTGGGGTTTTGGGGTTTTGGGGTTTTGGGG